TGTAGTATTGGGCGCTTTGGCTGTGCCGAGCCAAGTCTGAATGATTACAAGTCAAAGTCAAGTGGAAGTGTGGCGAAGAGCCCTGGGCTCCAGCCGGCTTTTATTCAAGATCCCGCGCCTTGCGGCGCACAATAACGTGTTGATCGTAAAACAATAATAGGAGTTAGTGTCAGGTTTGGGTTTGAAGGTGGCGCCACCAAGGGTAAGAGTCGAGTAGGCCGTGACCAAACAACTGCAGTCGTCTGCTATGTTATGATTGGTTTGACAGCTTAGGTTATGGTTTTCTATGAGAGGTTTAATGAAACCTCATAATACTACAATATATTGTATGTCCTAAATTTTGATTATTTCATAATAACTGAATTGTAATCCTGTACCCACATTAACCCGTAATTAAAATTTACTTCTCCTTTAAGCTGTGTCATTTTTTTTCCGTACAGTGCAAATACAATGAGTTTGTGCCCTGGCAAAAATTGGACGCACAGCAGTGCAAAGATATTTTTTAAAGTTATAATGCAATGTACTAATTCTGGTAATTCTACAAATATCCTCTATAAGAGTAAAAATGTAGAAGTGGACAAAAAAAAATATGGAGAGTATGAGGTTACGTCTCGTAGCATGAGGAATAACGTAACCACCAACATATCAAAAGATGGTGAGACGTTTCTTTACCCCCGTTCTTACTTTAGCATATATGGACTTAGAATTTTTCTCGGGCTACCTTAATCGTAGCAGGCTACCGTGCAGCAATAGCGTCTGTCGTCACGGCAGCACCCGACGATAGGGTCTATCGGTGGCCCAGTGCCGACGACAGCGGCCCTGTCGGTGCGACACAAATGACGATAGGATTCAATCGTCAGCCCTATCGTAGCCCTATCGGCGTTTCTCTAGGGAGAGGTGGCCCTAAGGGTGTACTTCAATGGTACCAAACGGCGCGGCGGTCCCTCATTCCCTTCTCCTATAGCAGCACCCTCTGTGACAGGGGGTGAAATTGTTGTTGTCCTAAAATCTTTAACAATACATTGTGTAACTACGGAAATGTAGCTAATGAGATAAACAGTATCTTACCTGTTATCGTTTCATCTTTCAATTTGACAAAATAACATGGATATCTTGTTAAAAAGTAACACAATAGCATATCATTCATGCTCTACAATAATATATCAAATTTGTTTGTTAAAATGTAATGCCATAGTTAAAGTTTGTGAAAAATGTAGTGAAAAAGAAGAGAACTTCAAAATTATCAAAGAAGTACCAACAAGAGTTTTCATACATAAACTGTTTGAAAACATTGACTACAAGCCAGTGCGTTGCCACTAATGTTTGAAGAATATGCAAGCAGTAAAAGAATGTTTGTGTGATGATAGAATGAGGCAAATAGCTAAAAACGACTTGATTGATGGCTCACAGTAAGTTAATTTCCAGATCACTAAGATTAATCTGAGAAAAATTAAAATAACCAGTGTTTAATGTATAAAACTAATGTAGTTACTTTCTTTTCAGCTATTTTGAAGATATTGATGAAGAACTTTTCGAGTAATAAGAAAAAGTAGGCACTACTAGCTATATGTACGCCAGACCACGTCTCGCGTAACAGGCTTCGCGATATCTCACGAAACACTGTTACGCTGCGACGCGCCTGGCGCACATATAGCTAGGCCTGCG